ATAGGAGAAGAGATTGTAGATATTAAAATTTGAATCAAACCTTCTTGTTGACACCTCCTAAAGGTAGTTGTATAGGCCAACTAAGTTAAACTCTAAATTTCATGTACCTTCTTCTTTAATTTTTCTTGATATGCCTCTAAATAATATATATTTAGTCAGAACTAATAGGCTAGCTACTATTGTCATGGTTTTAACAGTTATTTTAATGTCCTCAAACTTCACTTTGTTGAGGATTACTTTCAAACTTGGAATTAAAAAATTGAGATTAATTTAAAATTTTTGAAAGTTCACATGGGTTCTTAAATTTCATTAATTATAAATCTTAGTGGTTATCACGTAATTTTTGTTCAAAATGATTTTTTTAGCATTAATCATTTGATTTTAACTTAATTTAAACAAAAAAATTCATAAAAATTCACGTGATTGTTTGACTATCTGTCTATTAAAATTTGATCCAATGAAGATTAGTGATTAATTTATCAATCAATGTTTTGTTACTCGTGACTTGTAATAACGATAATAGTTAAATGATCTAAAATTGTTTATTAATTAAAAAAAATATTTAACTTTATAACAAAATACTAATGTAAGATAACTGCAGAACAATATGAAGTTATTTGTTAGTAATAAATAAAAGAATGATTTAACTTTATAGAAAAATACTAATGAAAGAACCTTTGAACATGAGTCATATATGGACTAACTTCGTTGGACAATTTTCCTAAACTTTTCCAAAATAGTTAAGAGTGGTTTGTTTTTGTTAAGGTTGTTTCAACGTAACCCTATGGGCGGTTTTGTCTTATACTAAGATTTAATAATTACACGTGAATGTCCCAAAAATTTATTTTCTTAATACAAAAGAAAATTTATGCAAATCCGTACGGAGTTGAGTATAGCATGCAATGGAATTAAGCTACACAATTACCAATAGATTCAGCAATTGATCGATGACTGTGCAATGTGCATTTCAAATTTCGCACTACTTTCCGAAGTGCATCATTTTACGCGTTTTTTTTTTTTTTGGGGGGGGTTAAGCTGAATAAAATTATTAAACAACCAAAAAATTACAAAACTAATAAGAATTGGCAGAGCATCGAACATAGTTCGAAGTGAGTTCAGAAATAAATTATCATAAAAAATCCATACAAAAGACCCGATTCCCTAAGAACTTTATATGCTTTAGATGTACATCTTGGTAATTGGGGAATATTTTTCATTGTAGAACTTTAGCTTCTCCCCCCAACATGGAATGGAACAAGTTTTCCATTTGTGATTGGTAATTAGCATCGTACCATTATCTCTGTATCATAAACTTGGTGAATCTCATTTGGTTGTGCGTGTCTAAATTGTGTACTAATTTTTATATAAAAAAGATTACACTTTAAAGATAAAAAAAAAAATTACAAGTGATGAGATTTTAATTTTAAATTTTTTGAATGATACATTTTAAAAGCTACACATAAATTAATTAAGTCTTAAGTTTTATGTATGAATTCTTTCTTTTTAATTGATAAAAAATACGAATTATATGATATTTTAGGGATATTAAAAATTAAATATTATATTTTTTAAAAAATAATTATATTTTAAATTACGAATAAAAACCCAAACACACTATGCTCGGTAATGGATAAACTCACTAGGCCTAGCAATGTCGATAAAAGCTTTTCTTGCATTTAAACTATGCTTTTCACTTGAGGGCAAATTTCGCAGCCCCTCTAATATTTTGTTTCCGTCCATCTATAGAAAGTGTGAAAAAAAAAAAAAAAAAAAAAAAAAATGATTGAATAATAAAATTAATGTTGCTTTTGCTCGTATATAGTTTTTTTTTTTTTTTTTGGTTGATACACTTTGCTTGTATATATATAATAATAAAATTATATTAATGCAAAGTGAAAATTTTATTTTTATTTTATTTTTAAATTTTCTCTAAAATTAGATTATTACAATTTTAAAAAAATACTTTAAGTAATCCTTCTATATCTCTCTCCTTTTTTTTGGCAGTGTAATCGGAGGAATCTTGGGCTTAGTTTTGCTAAACAGCCATCGTTCTATTAAAAATAAAAAAAGGCTGACAGTAGGCTCATAGTTTTATAGCTAGGCTTCTTAGATCTGCTCATGGATTATTTTAATTGCAAAAACATTATTTGTAATTTCACTTATTATTATTTTTTTAATTTGGGACATTACTACAAGTTTTTTTTTTTTTTCAGCCTAGATTTATAAAAGCAATCATAACATTACCAAATACCAAGCTAAGCAAATAGAAAAACGAGAATCAGTAAAAATCCAAATTACACAACAAAGATCAGCTGAATGAAATCAAAGGAAAATACCCTAGCAGCAGATATTACATCTAAATTACTGTTTATTTTTCTCTTAAAAGAACAAGCACCTAAGTTTAGAAATGATAAATTTTAGTGTTAGACATAAAATGTAAGAAAGTTGTGAATAATGTTAGACTGGTAAATTGAAATAGCCAAGTCCAAACAATCATGAACCCAGATCAATTTTCACTTTCAAAGAATCCATCTTTCCAAATCCCTTTAACTTATCTGATGACACAAATATTCTGGTTGAACAATTTCTTCTAGAACTCCAGCAGATCATTACAAAAAAGAACCTTAATGCAAAGGCCGAAGTTTTCTTTATAGATACCAACACTTAAATGCATTAATGGAAATCAATTAGTCCAATCAAGTAATGTTTCCAAACATTTTTTTCAGTGGTCAAATTCCATGAAGTGCGTGACTTTAAGTATATGTACTATGAAAAAACAAAAACCTTGGTAAAAACTTTGGATAGACATATAGGCTTTTCAATTTGACTGAAGTTTGGGTTTCTTGATCAAGTCTTTAATGGGCTGTTGCCAAGAGACTCTTACCCTGGCCTGCACCCCAAATTTCAAGCTTTACCTAGCCAGGATCTTAGAGTTGATGGAAAGAAGTTTAGATCAAATCATATATTCTATTTACCTATGGAAACACTCCAAAATCTCCTTCGATATGAAATTGATGGCGAGAAGTATCTTTAGTCTTGGATGATGTGTGGAATGAGGATGCAGAGAAGTTGTCCATGGTGAAAAATCTGTTAACGGGGGGATTTAGGGGAAGCAGCTAGGATTGTTGTAACTACAAGGAGTGAATTGTGTCACGACCCACACACGAGTGCAAGCACAAGTGGGCCGTGTGTTTAGCAACAAGAAATCAAGAGTTTGTGTCTCCGCGCATAACGAAATTGGTTGTGCAAATTACAGGCACAAATTCACTGTACTTTTTAACAAGCCAATCAGAAAGTCAATCTTTGTGTTTGTTTAAACAAATCCAAACCTCCAACTATCCCGACCTAGAGCAAGAAATAATTGGAGAGGAGATCATAAAGCATTGTGCAGGGGTTCCCCTAGCAATTAGGGCCATACGAAGATTATTAACCTTTTAAAAGAACCAAATTAGAGTAGGATTGAATGTACTTGTAAATACGTCTCAAAAAGGAATTGGTATTTGAGCAAATGTTAAGGTTAAGTTATGATCATCTATTCATCACCCGTCACATTTGAAGCAAAGCTTTGTTTATTTTTCACTATATCCTAAGGATAATGAGATCAATAAGCATAACTTGAAAGGACTACTCGAAATTTTCAATTTAAACAATGCCATTCCGGAAATCGGGGTTGCCTACTTGAAATAAAAATTGTATCTAGAGTTCTTGGCATTATGGTGGGATGAAAATGGTGTGGATGAGGAAATTAATGGTGTTGGAGAGCCTGCGAGACAACATCCAAATCTCAAGGAGCTGACGGTATCAGGGTATATATATGGGAGCCAAGTTTTCAGTTGGCTGTCTTCGATCACAAATTCAGTCCAAACTGAAATAGTTTGTTGCATGGAAAGCCCAAATCTACCTCCTATAGATCACCTGCCCAGCCCTCTCTAGAGTTTCTTACAATTTTTTGTTCTGGATGCTTTAGAACACGTCAGAAATAGAAACAGACACATCAATAACAACAACAATATTAGCGTTCTTCCCATCCTTAGGATACCTGAAATTAAATAGATCCTGTCCAAATGAAGAGGAGGAAGGACGATGACAAAGAATCATTGCAAGAGGGATGAGTCAACTCACCAATCTATGCTTTCTTCAAATCAGATATTGCCCCCTTGACAAAAAGATGCCAAATGAACCCAAAAATCGACATTTATGAAGATAGAGCATCCAATGTTGTTGTCTAATTCTCCCGACACATTTTTTTTTCATAAAGTTAAGTAATTTTCTCACCAAGCTCTCCTCTCTTCTTAATGATTTATTCCTTTCAAATCATGGTCTCTGCATTTACTTCCCCTGCTGATAGTTTCCAAGCATTACTTACCTCGAATTTTGATCCGACTGGTTTTGACTTATTTATTTCACTGATAGTTTCTAATTAAATTGCATTTATTTCACATGCATTGATGAAGAAAAAATTTTTTTTTGATATCTCCAACAGATTGCAACTTCATGAAGATCCTTAAGTATATTAAAGGTATCAAATGCTTCAGGTTAACATGACTGCAATTAAGGGATCTTTACCCCTTTGTATGTGGATGAATATTTATATTTGCTAAATTTTCATTTAAATTTTTTTATTAAAAAAATGACAATTTAATAATATAAAAATATATTATAAGTGTTGAAATTTGAATTATATACCTATTAAATATTATCTCATAAAAATAAATATATAAATTAATTAAATTAAATTTTGAATTCAAAATTCTCATATTTACTATAAAGAATTATTGTTCCATCTAATCTCTATAATATTGAAAAATGTCTATTGTAGTACCTATATTAAAAAAAAATGTTGAGTATGTACTCAAATTTTCATTTTGTTTACTAATATGTCTTATTGATTAACACCATTAAAAAAATTTGATAGATATTTTTATAATTTCTTTTTTGTTAACAAAAATAAATAAGAAAAAGCAAATAATAAGAAAAATTAACCAAACAAAGCCTTCTTATTAAAAGCTCGACTATCGGACATTCATCCGCCCAAAAAACCCTGAGCCTTTCTTGTAGGAACTCGAAGTAGCCCACCTGATTCTCTTTGGGCCAAGAAGCCCAAAAAATTGTACGAAATTCATATTCTCTACCAACGGCCGAAAAGGAGAATGCTTTGCTTTTCACATCTTTCAGCTCTTCCTTCACAACCCAAGAATTCTCCAAGATGGAGTACCAAAAATTCCTCTCAATTCCAATCTTTGCTGTGTTTTTCTTGATGGGTTTTGTTTATTATATCACATTCTTCATTTTCACTGAAGATTGGCTTGGTCTGCAGAGCTCAGCTGGGTCTTTAAATATTATTATCTTCACTTTCCTGGCTTCTCTTTGTCTCTTCTCTTTCATTGTTGGTGTTCTTACTGACCCAGGTCATGTTCCTTCTTCTTATCTCCCCGATGTTGAAGATTGTTCTTCTGTATCAGATCAAGAACCCAACAAAAATGTAAGTTTTTTTTTCCTTAATTTATCCATCAAATCAATAGATTCAGAAAAAGTTGAATTTTTTGTCAATTTGAGTTTTAATAGTAGATTATGGTGGATTTACTAGGACCAGTTTATTTGTGGAATTTTTTTTTCTTTTTTGTCTCCATTTTACGGTAGATTTGATTAATGAAATAAGGTAAATGATCAGGAGAAAAGATTGCTAATTTGAACCTAGACCTTTAGCCAACTCAGGCCTGCTGGGTACGTGGCTGCATGAATCAACTAGGTTATGCCTCTATTTTTATTTTTTTAAACTAAAAATTTGCATATAATTTATAATAGCTGTTCAGTTTCGTGAAATTGTGGAAAAGAAGGATTTTCAAGTAGAGTTATGTATCTTATTTATTGATTGGATCTAGACTGGCCCTTAACTTGGCAGCCCGATAGAATTCAACATCTCCCAATTTTTATAGGCAGAATCTTCAAGTGAGATCAGGCATGCTATTTATATTTTCCCTAATTATGGAAGTTAATGAGAGAAGGACTAGGAGAATTTGTTGTTTAGAATTCAGATATGCAAAGTTTATACCTTCATTATGTATTCTGACTTCATGATGAATGATATAGGGTGTACAATCAAAATATTGTGACAAATGTGCTGCATATAAACCTCCCAGGGCTCATCACTGCCGGGTTTGCAGAAGATGCATACTAAGGATGGTAGGATATATATATATATATATATATATATATATATATCTTTTAGCAATTTTCATTTGAGGAAAGTTTTTATTTTAACATGAGGTTTTCAGATTTATGGTTTCTAATGCTCTAAATTGGGTGCAGGACCATCATTGCCTTTGGATAAATAATTGTGTTGGTTACTGGAACTATAAAGCTTTCTTCAATCTTATACTTTATGCAACCATGGGTAGTATCCACTCCACAGTATGCATCATTTGCTCCTTCTCTTGTTTTAACATTACAAAGTTGCCCCAGTTGTAATATGAAACTTGTCGTGCTTAGGTAATCGTAATAAGCTGTTCCTGTCAGAAAGACTGGAATTACAGTGGAACAACTCCCCTCAAAATTTTTTATGTAAGTTGCAGTTAATAATATGTAGTTAATTAGATGCATCTGCAATTTTATTGTTGTTACAGCAATAAGAGCATAAGTTAAGCTAGAATTCTATTGAAGTGCCTGTCTCCTGTTTCTAAACTTGTTCAGAAGGTAGCTGTGAATTATCATGTCTGCAGTAAGCTGTTTCTGGCTAGCAGAATTGTTGTATATTCTGTGATTTCGGTTATGCAACAGAGTCTAGTAAATACAAAATGTAGTTGGCTACAGCCTTTTACCTTTTCACTTTTTGACATTGCATAAATTCTGGTTAAGGACCTGCAAACTATGTTGATCCTATTTTTTTCTTTTAAGCCATCCATGCCCTCTTATATCAAAATGTACACTGTCTGGCTAATTTTTTGTTTAACTTCAACAAATTTCTTATATTTAACCGACATCTGCACACTTCTTTTCTATTAGGGAACTTGGTAAAGTATTGAGTGAGAGGCATAGTTTTTAGGGTACACTTGATTTTTCTCATATCAAACATGGAAGATTAAAAGCAACCTAATCTGGCCCAAGCCTTGACATTCTATGGTGTAATGTCCAAAAAAAGCTAGATAGCCTTTCTTAGTTGGATTTTTTTTTTTTTTTTAATTCCTGGCTTGAGTTCGAGTTTAACCATACTAAGTTAAATTAAAATTTCAGTTTCTGTAGTGACTTGTGGGTTTCTTTTCTATTAGTGTTTGACCTGCTTTAATCTGTAAAGCTTTATGCCATAAAGTCCTGGCTGCATTATGTTGTAAAGCTTTATGTTATTAACCACCCCCCCCCCCCCCAATTCTCCCTTTCCAATCCAGCTGTTTGAGAGGGTAGAAGCTATTAATAAAATCTCAGGGTATATTATATGTTTTGTAGCTTGCTTGTGGAGTAATGATGCTTGCATTATCCGCAACACTTGGGACTCTGTTAGGTTGGCATATCTACCTTATAACTCGCAATATGACAACCATAGAGGTACATTGACTTTAACAGTTGGTGATGCATGGCTTGAATTACTCCTGCATAATTGTTTAAGCCACCTTGGAATTATCCTTTTGCCAGTATTATGAAGGAATTCGAGCCGCATGGTTGGCTAATAAATCTGGGCTGAGCTATCGTCATCCATTTGATCTTAGTGTTTACAAAAACATTACCTTGGTACTTCTCCCCCCCCCCCCTCTCTCTCATGTCCTTGTGTTGTTTCTCTTGTTTTCTTTCTCAATATATCATACCTGTAAGCTATTAGCATGACTTATCAAACTCTTAATCAGGTATTGGGTCCCAACATTCTGAGATGGTTATGGCCGACATCAATTAGCCATCTAAAAGACGGAGTTAGCTTCCCTACTTCACGTGACAGTAGTTCATAGATATTTTCCACTTCCACCCAGGTCAGTCGCAGAATTTGTTGCATTCCATACTTGTTTATTACATGATGAAGATTTTTCTTACTGTTCATTTTATCACATTGTTTCCGTGGGACAAAGGATAGCTTCAATGAGTTGTTGGCCTAACTAGGTGAAGTTCTCAACCATAGATGTACATAGTGCCATGTATGCTTTGCCTAGCCAGATAATACTCGCTTGTACTTAGTTCTTTTTTTTTTTAAATCATTTTCCCCTCCCCTTTCTGCAGGAATTTTGTACATCAAATTGTCACATAATAATACCTAGGCAGTTAATATAGGTTACAAGTTGAATGTAATTTGTGTAATAAACATCAAATGTATTAAATGTTTTAACTTCGTTGGCATATTTCAGCTCATTTCATTCGGAACTGGGAACTTGGCTTAATTATGTAACCACATTTAAGAGATAATATCTAATAAGTTTGAAGTTTAAATCTTAGTATGACTTTTTTTTTTATTATTATCAAAACTTCAGTCTCCCTTTAAAAAGAAAAGTTTATTCCACTTTTACACTCGTTGGAAAAACTGGTAGTAGTAGTATTTCCTTTCAGGCACATGAGAAAGCTTGAGGGTGGAGTGCACTTCTATGCTATAATTCTGAAGAAAAGAAGAGACCATAATGTGAAGAAGAAACAAGTAAAATGATTTAGCGTTAGACAAGAAATTCATTGTTCCTTTTTTTTTTTTATTTAATAGACCAATCACTTTTTGAGAAACAAGCCTTCTTCTGCTACTTTTTTTTGTTTTATTAATTAGTTTTATACCTTCATAATCATTATTCACATGTCGAAATCATGTTATAGATTTAGTCTTCATAAACGTGATGATGATGATGTTCAATATATTGAAAATTAATCAATTACAAATGGTAAATGTTGATGGTAATCATTCATAAAGATTGTGGATTTGATATTAATGTCAATGATTTAGATGCTTTTAAATTAAAAAAAATAGAATTCGGATGTTGCAATTAAAATTTTTCATATAACAAATCATGGTGAATTAGACGTAGATTCACACGAGCAAAAGCTAAGGACATTTTGATAAGGAATATTCATCCTAGGATGAATATAATTGCATCAAGATTCCAATTGAAAAAACTTATCGGAATCTATCAAATTGCAGATACCTTTTGCTTTCAGCCATTAGCTTTTTCCCCAGTAGCCAGTAGTGCCTTAGTAAACTGTAGAATTAATTTGTGCAGTCACTTTCTGTCTGCAAAATGCCTCATTCGGTGGAGTAAAATAATTTGGTGGGCAGTTTTTTTAATCAAAATATTTTTTTTTTTAGTATTTTTGCTATTTTAATTTTTACTCAATTTTTTACTTTTTTTTTTTTAACTTTTATAAGATAAAAGTAAAATGTAAAAAGCAAAATCTTTGTTTCACGAATATATTTAGTAAAATTTTTTATTTAAAAAATATTTGAACTCTGTTATTTGAATAAAAATTATGCATCAATCAATTAAATTAAATGTCCATATGCAATAATTAGCATTCAAATTTTCATTTTTTTAAATTAATTTCATAGTATATTGTAGACATCGATTTTGTTCGAGTCTATTATTAATTTTAATAATAATATTAATAATTTTAAAAAAATATAATTATTAAAAAAAAGAGAAAATAGGAAAAAGAAAAAAAACAAAAAGTAGAGTGGCTGGCGCTGCTGTCGCCCTCGACCAGCCACCCTACAGCCCCCTACCAGCTCCATGATCAGCCATCTGTCCAGCCACCAAACCAGACAATCATCCTACCACGTCTATGACCACCATCTATCTCCCTATTTGAATCTTTTTAAAAACCCATAGCCTCTTCCCCTTTAACGACTCTTTCGAACGCTCTCAAAAAAAAAAAAAAAAAAAAGATCCATTCAATCTACCCCCACGAAAACCCTCAAGCTCAGACGAACTCCCCTCTCAAAACACTCTCAACAACCCCAAATAGACCCTCATTCCCATACATAAAAAATCAAATTTCAAGCAACCCCCCAAAATACCAAAATAAAAAACAAAACAGATCTACACAAAAAAAAAAAACAAACACAGTCCTCCCCGCAGGAAGGACCCTCAGCGCCACAGCCGCCTGAAACAAGAAAGAGAAATCATTAGTTTAAGCCGTCCTAAAATAATAATAAAAAAAAAGAGATCAGAAACTTCGAAGGTCAATTCGTCAATGTCAAGGCACTTTCAGGCCAAACGAATGTCGAATCTAGAAAGAGGACGTCGAAAGGAATTTCTGGTGACTTTCTGATCATTTTTCTATCACAGGCTATCACCGGCGGCCGGTGCAGCGCCCGACATCAGATTCCAGCGAAGCCAGAGAACCCCCAAACCTTTTTTTTTCCCTGTGAAATGAAATAAACTGAGAAAAAAAATCTGATTTTTATAAAAAACAATAAGGGCAAAACGACATCGTCTTGAGCATATGACCAAAACGTCGTTTCAAACGTAGAGGATCTGCGCGTGGACCAAACCCGACCCGAGATTTGTGCAACTCGACCCGATGATCCGCTTCAGCCAACCTTTAATTGGTTCAGATGAACCGCCAGTGAACCGATCTGAACCGTCGGATCGTCGAACCACTAATTGAACCGTCGAATTGGTCAAACCGGCTTATACCAACATTGACCGAACCATTGACCGGTCCGGTTCAGGTAAAAAAAAATTTTTTTAATTTTTTTATTATTATTTATGTTATTTTAAGTTTTATATTTATGCATGATAAATATTTAAATTTATTAGGATAAATATCTAATTGTTATTAATAATAATAAAATTGAAAACAAATAATAATTAAAAATATATATTAAAAATGCTCAAAAAAATATTTATTATTATTATTATTTTCTCTGCCTAAATGTTGGAGGGAATAAAAAAAATTTTTTAAAAAAAATATTTTCGTCTAGATGTTGGGGAATTATTATTAATAAATTTTCATAAAAAATAAAATATAAGAAACTTTTAAATTAATTTTCAAAAATCATTAAAATAGAACCTGCTTTGAAAATTCGCCTAGATGTTTGAGATTTTTAGAGATGTTCGTATATTCTTAAAAACGAAACCTTAAACACTAATTTTTAATTTTCAAAATCCTAGGTTTCTAAAACCCCTAAAATCCAAAATCCCTTAAATCCAAACTCCCTAAAATCCCAAACCCCTAAAATCCGAAATCTCAAACCTTTAAACTCTTAAATCCAAACCCCAAAATCCAAAATTCCTAAAATTCAAGCTCTAAAACCGTCTAAACCTTAAAACCAAACTTTCAAAACCTCTACTCAAACCCTTACTCAAAACCTCTTAAAAATTCGGAGGACACATGTGAAAATTTTATTTGAAGTAATTTGTTCCCGAATGTTGTCTAGATGATGGGGTATTTAAAAAATTTTACTTCGTTAAGTCTTTTCACACGATTTCTTAATTCGTATTAATAACAAGATTAATAAATAAAATATATATTAGTAAATTAGGATCTTAAATATAAACAGTCACACATAAGCTCTGCCTAGATGTTGGAGAGTCGGGGTGGTTTCATTATACTTAAGAACTCAACTTTTAAATTGCATTTCATTTTACATGACATTCATTAGCATACATACGTTGGCATGTTATCATCAATAATTGTTTGCATTATTCTCTTTTTAATTTATTGTTTGATGATAAAATATTTTATAATAAAAAAGAATAATACTTTAAAAAAAAAAATTTTGTGATATTATAAAATAAAATAAAAATAACATTCCGAAAAAAATAATCCTCGGTACTTTGCCTAGATGTTGGAAAGTCAATAACAATTATTTTTTATAAAAATTATTATTTCATTTTAAGGATTATTGTGTTAAATCTTAAGCGAAAAGAATTATTTTTAAATTATGCCTAGACGTTAGAGAATTTTAAGATAATTCTTTAACTTAAAGATTTTTTCAATATTTCTAAATAAAAATTTTATCAAAATTTTATTTTTTTCAAATAAAGAGAATTAGTGTTAAATTTTAAATTAAAATCATTTTTATCCAACGTCGAAAATAGTTCGTAATTAAAAGGTATCAATTTATGGGCGTTGTGAGAGTGTTAATCATTTCTCATATGTAATCAACTCTCGGACCCAACTTGATTTTTTGTAGATCAAAATTTATCTTTTTAATAAACTTTAAATTCGTTTTTATAGTTTTATTAAAAAGATAAACTTTTAGGTGGTCAATCACACCCTAATAAAGATTGATAATGATTCTCTTTTATTTTTTTTTATTTTAAAATACTATTTACATCTAACAATATCAAAACTGTTATGACATATACAAAACTTTTTCTAGTCTACAATTGATCATCTTTTAACATCATTGGCATGGAGAATTTTTAGTTGAATACACATCCTCAAAGCTTGGATAGTGCGTTTGACGTTTTCCTACACGTAAAATTTATGTTGAGTTTCACGTTTTTTCTTTTTCTTTTTTTTTTTTTGAGATGTCTCAATTTTTTATTTTTTTCATTTTTGAACATGATGTGGATGCTTAGCCAGCTTAGGGAAAATGATCTATTTTTCTTTGGTGTGGCATATGGATTTCGTGGATGTGTACCGAGGTTTTATATATGGATGTTTATGAATATTTCTGAATTTATTTAATTTTGATGGACGTTGATGTTTGTGTAATTTATAAATGAATTGATGGATATGATGAATTCATTAATGTTTGTGGATGTAGTGTCTGTAAATTTTATACGGAAATGAATTGAATATTGAATTTTAATATGATACGGTTGTGTTCAGATTAATATGGATGATTTTCGTAGAGTCGGGAAAGCTATAATGAGCTTAAAAGTTTAAGCAGTCATTCCTCTAACAATAGTGATCAATCCTCGAATAAAAGGGATCGATCCTCAAAATTTTGATGAATTTTCAATATTTTAGAGACAAAAATTGAGGCTTTTACCGACAAAAATTATGTTATTAAGATATTCTAATCTTTTACCAACAAAAAATCTATTAGTATAAGCTTTACCACCAAAATTTTAGAATTAAAAATAAAAAATATCAAATAAAAATAATATTAATAATGAAAAATTTTATTATAATGATTTTATCAATCACTTTTATAATTAAAATTAAAAAATCTTAAATAAAATAATATTAGCGATGAAATTATCTATCGCTAATTAAAATTACCGACAAATATTACTGTTACTAATAAAATTATAGATGGAATTTTAAAATTAAAATTAAAAAAATATTATTAAAATAAAAATAAAGAATTTTCAATGAAAAATCCCGTCGCCAAATCCCACTCATTGTCCATGGAATATTTCGTTACCAACGGAAGACTTTTAACGTCTTTAAATTTTTTGATGGAAAACCTTTTTCTTTTTTCTTTTTTTTTTTAGTCATGAGCTTATCTACTATAAAAGCCAAAGTAAAACGTTTTGACAGTTTGGGATTTTACATGAAACTATAAATCAAAACTTTTTTAAGGAGTGTTAATTTTAATAATAGGTATTTAATGATATTATTTTACATTCTCACTTTACTCTTGAATAATTCACAAATATTCTTGCTTTCCTCTTCAATTGTTCATAAAATTATAAGGGTATTATATTATCTCATTTTTTTTTTATTTTGTCTAATTTTTCTATGGATTTCATTTATTTTTATCCTAATTAACAAAAAAAAAATCTTTTTTTATTTATTTAATAAAATTGATTATTTTATTTTTTAATTTATTAAAAAAATACAAAAGAATTATTATATAATTTTCATTATTTAATACTTCTATATTAAATTTGCTAAATGATAGATGATTAAACGCTTATTTTTAACTTTTTTTACAGTATTTTAAAAATAACTTTACTCAAATAACACTTCTTAAAAAAACTCCATAAGTATCAAACAAACATAGTACCATTACCATTTTTATATTTTGAATTTTAATATTTATGCTTTTTTATTAAAAATTATTAAAAAATATAAAAATATAATATTAAATACATTAAAATTAAAACATTTTTCTTAATCTTTGTTAAAGTTAAATGGAATCAAATAATTGGAATTATCTATAAAGTTAGTACTAAAAATTTTAAAATCAAAGTTAATTCAATTTTTTTTAATTTTTACTAAGAGGGTTAAGAAAAAGGAGGTTAAATGAAAGTGGGTGTGCAGTTATACTTGCATTACTTAATTGTTGAAAAAAAAATACTATCATTTGCATAAAAATCTGCCATAGAAATAT